GCTCCAAACCTATGACCTCCCCCCCCCCCCCCCCCCACACTGTATTACACAAAGAAAGAAAACAGGCAAAGGGTGAGGAAGAAATTATTACCCTGATGGTGCCAACCTAAGTAACTGGCAGGAAGAGGCAGGTGAAAGGCAGAAGAGGAAGGAACAGGAAATAGCAACAAATGCTTTTAAAATTCACATCACTTGTTGGGCTCAGGATATTTTTCTTTTTCATTTTGTCTCAGAGTAAAAATTCCCACCAATCAGTTGATTTTTAATATCTTCTTCACTTGCTCTCCTTCTCCTGAAAGTGGATTTTGCCAAGACCTTTGCCAGTTTAGCTGCAACACCACAAAGTTAACAACATTCACATCAAGACCCCGAGCCTCTCAGCATGGGTTTTACCCAAGAGCATGCAAAATGCAGTTAGGGAAGGCAAGTGAAGAAAACTTCATTTATTTTTTATTTAAATGGAAAATAAAACGGAGGAGCTGGAAATGAGATCCAGCCAGCTAAAAGCCAAGCCAGCACATTAAGTTACACTTCCAAGCCCCCTAATAACTGTCCTTTCTTTTACAGCTTTGCTAAATGATGTGCTGTGCACTGCAGGGCTTGCTAGGAGGTATCTGCATCACGGCCAGCTGCTCTCGTTTCTGAGAATTAGGTAACATCATCCAGTCCAAACAGTAGGGCTTCAATTCAGTCACAAAATTTTTAAACTATAAAAAGATTAGAGCAGGTCTGCCCTCCCCCTCCCTCCCCCCCAGTTTGAACAGCTAACTCTTTCCAGGTGACTTTTTTTTTTTTTCCCCCCCACCGCCTTTGACTGAGCTGTTTCATTTGGTGCTCGACACTGCAGTCCTGGCAGTTGCCTGCCCCCTGCCTGGGTAAGGCCAGTTTTTTTTCTTAATGCAGACTGTCACATCCAGGACAGTCACATCCAGGCAGCAGCCTGGGTGGCCTGGAGCCAGCTGCTGCTTTTGGGGAAGAACAAAGTGTCTCCCACAGCTCAGTGGAAACCCTTCTGTGCACAGCCCAGCTGAAGCAAGACACCCCTTTCAGCCAGGGTTTCTACCACTGGTTTTAGGGTGGGTTTTGGTTTGTTTCCAGACCAGCTCCACTGGCTTTAGTGAATCTTGCCTTTGAGGGAACATGAGGAACATTTGCTAATGTACATGAACTAATCCAGCCTGTCAACATCCATGCATATTTATGTCCAAGAGTTCATTGCAAGTCCTTGCATACTGTAAAGCATACCTGATAGTCCAAACCAAGATAAGGCCACTGAGAACTAAATTTGTGTTAGCATCCACCTGGAGACAGTGGGCGCATGCTCCCTTCCCACTGCAGTCTAAACCTGTCCTAGCGCATGTGCTAAACATGGTGTGTCCATACTGCCAGATCTGGTACCTCAACTTAATCTACTTTCCAACATTCTTTCGCTTTCATCACAAAAAAAAAATTACCCTTTGGATGATTATGGCCTGGTCTTAAGCCAATTTTTTTTTTCCAGCTAACCTGTAAAACATGGTAGGCAAAGGCAACTTCTACATGCAAAAGCCGTTTTCCTCTGTTACAGCTGGTGCCATATTGAGAATAAATGTGTCTGCATTGCTGGGGAGGTTGGTAAGTTACACACCACCTTGGAAACTTTCCTGATATAAACACCCTAGCAAAACCTTTGTGCTGCGTACTGTTCACGTGTAAGTATTTATGAGCTAACCTGCAAGCATTTTTTGGTTTGTGTTTGCCAGCATTACTGTAGCTTTTTCGCACCTGAAGCGTGACAGATTGAAATGGCTCCTCCTCCACAGAGGAGTTCTCTGGGCCTGGACTTTGCCTTCTAATCCGTAAAAAATCATTTACACTTGCCGCCTATAGGCTCTGAAGAACCATAAACTTATGTCAATGTGTTTTCAGTCTTTTACCAGTGAGAAGTCCAGT